TTCCTGCTATCTCTAAATATGTCCAAAAAGTCATGTCAATAAAATAATCCTATCAGTTTGTAAAGATCTGCTGGAAATAGCCCACTCTATGTGAGTTTAATCCTTTTCACCTTGCTTGCTTTCTCCCTTTTGTTGTTTGCCTTTGCAGGCCAAGGGAGATCACAGTTTGTTAGTCTTACTGTTAGCTTTGCCATGGTTCTCACAGCACTTCTTTTCTAATTTCAGCTGCCATCCTGCTAATCTGCTGAAGAGCTGCTCAGTTATTTTCCCCAGGGCTCTCTGCCTTTCTCCTTTTCTGTGAAGGGATAGTCTCAGTTTTCACTGAGTATATTTCAGCCTGAATATGTATATCTCAACTACCTGCAAATGAAAATAACTATTTTAGTCATTAAAATCATCATGTCATTAAATTGTATGTCACCTACCAAGAGATTAATAAAGACAAGAATTGATCCTAGGAACACAGGATGGTTTATACTTAAGGCCGAAAGCACTGGGGTCAGTACAACATTCCTGTCTTTGTAGCCATGATTAATTTATTTGTACCATGATCTTCCAAAAATACATTATAAAAACAATGCCATCTATCTGCTGCAATTGGGCATCATGAGGCTACATTCAGACATTAAAGTGCTTCAGTAGGCAGTAGTAAATGAGGTGATATTTTCTTTCCTCCTATTTAGAATCAGTAATTATTTTATGTGGATTAGTTGGAAGAGGTGAAAGTCTATATTAAAAGCCATCATTAGTGTGGTAGTTCGTTGCAGAAAATTGTGTATTAAACTGCTGGTATTAAAACTGAGATTAAATCTCTATTGTCACTTCTCTCAGTGTGTCATGGAATTTGTACTTATACATAGCTTTGAATTCATATCTCCCAAGTTGAGAACTTTTGTCCTTGCTTATAACCATTCTCCCTTTATTAAATCCACTAGATTTCAGGTAGGCAGTTTTCTTTAAATAGCTAACTGGGTTAGGAAAATTATTTCAAACCTTTGCTTGCAGTAGCAATGACTGGTATGCTCTGTCAACTCCTCAACTTCTAAAACAGTAGATTGAGTATATTTAGTCTGCTAAAATGTATAAATAACCTGTGAATCACCTGGTGTCCTGACACAAATTACCACTTCACCAAATTTGGAGATCTGCTATTTAGCTTAAAGGCTCAAAACAAAGTGGACCGTAGTTAATATAACAACCATGATGGGCTTTGTATTTTTTACGACTTTGGATTACAGAGCTTCTAGAGAACAGCAAAAATCAAGAAAACTTGAGATTGTGTCTCGAATTTTGCAAGAAAAAGCTTCTATTCGAAAGCAGAAAAAAAGTCAGTCCTGTGCTAAGGAAATGAAAGGTGGATGCAAACGGGAGCGTTCTGTCCTGTGGAGAATGAGAACGTGGCAGTATCTTGAGAAGATCTGCTCACCTCCAGCTGGAGCAGCATCACAGGTGAGCAGAGGCCTAAGGCACTGTCTTTAGTTTTACTTTTTGTCAAAGGAGAAGGGCACTGAATTTCTGAGGACTAGTTTCTGGCCTCCTGTACATACAGTTAATATCATATAGGTGCTTTTAACATCAGATTTGTCTGTGTTCAGTGTCTTAAGAAGTAATCAACCTACATTGTCATCTCTGGCCTATGAGCTCTATAGACCTGTATGTTTGTATTAAAAGATCTCTGAAACTGTCACCTGTTGAAGTAACTGTCTTCTAGTCATTTTTAACTATATCTTCAAAACTTAGGTTCTTTCACAAAAGTCTTGGCGCTCCCCATCAGCTTGTTCCTCAGCTGCAGGAGAGAGTTCTGACCCAATAGCCCACTACCTGCTCCGTGCCAGTGGTGAAGATGAGAAAGACAGGGACAAGGTCCTGGTAGAACCAGAGTTCCCAGGACTTTGGAGTCAGGAATTTGACTTGCAAAAGGTAAATGTTGTGATATCTCCTGTCGGAAACAGAAAAAATAATGCAGATGAGATCCTTTTGTAATGGACTCATTGTGAAGCTTTAGCCTTTGCAAAATGTTAATAGTATCCATAGAAGTGTCTTAATGGATTAGAAAATTTTATTTGCTTTTGTAGATAAAGTCCTGGATTTTATCATTCCCAAATTCAAGGTCAACAGAATGGATTTCATTGCTGGCTTCATAAAGTCATCTCCCAGTTGGAGAGTTTGGTCTCATTCCAAAAGACTGGGAAAGGGATAACATAACTCAGTATTTTCAAATATGAAAGTAACGACTTCACATGTGAAGTAATGGTATTGGCAAGTGTTGTTTTAGGATCCTTGCTTAAAAACAATAACTATCTGTTTTGCAGTTAAAATGGAGAATTATTTCGTAGCTGTAGAGATGCAGATGTAAGAATATCATCAGAGTAGATGCTGTTTCATGCTGACCTTGTAGTGTTTGCTCCCTTAAAGAGAAAACAGGACTTCAGTTTTAGTTCAGAGATAAGTGAAGACACACATCACATCTTATTAAGTCATGTGAGTTCTAGAAAAACTGAACATGACTTTCTGTTGAGTTTGCAACACAGATTGCTTGATGTGGAAACAACTTTTTTCGTTCCATACTAGGCAAAGAAAAGTGTATCTTCAAGTAATTGTGTTCTGCACTCTGAGCAGAGCTACAGAATGCACTCAGGGAGTGGGATTGTGTAGTTAGGATCCTAAATGTTATTCCAAGGTACACTTGTATCTACTGCTTTTTTGAGATGTAGAAGACCTTTAAAAGCAGAATTTATCATCATCGATCTTTAAGGTATCCAAAGAAGAAATGGATGCAAAGCAGCTGGCTGCAAGGGGAGTGAAAAATGAAAGTTATGAGAAAAAAATGGAGGATTTCCAAGCTAGAACTTTTCACAAGCAAAGAGTGTCTGGTCGTGAATGTAAGGGAGGTTCTTTCTATAGCAAACCAAGCTGCATTCATTTCAAGGTCAGTGGCCATTCTGGATAGGATCTCTAAAGATGATGTATCTATGTATATACCAATGTCTTCATCAAAGTTCTGTTGCACTGGGAAGAAAACAAAATTCTTTATGTCTTTAATAGTGAAACCTGGAGGAGTACTTGTCTTTTTCTCTAACAATCTCTTAGATGAGTTATAGTCAGATTAAATAACTTAGTTTTACTACCTAGGACTAAATTATACAATACTTCCTTTACTTAGGGTAATTTAAATACTTGTCAGAAAGGTGAGAAAATGATGAAGCATCTTGTAAAACTGTGTTCCATGCTTTTTAAAAATATATAGCAGTGTTACTGCTATATATTGTTTATACTATTGTTTGTGCACAAACCCCCTCCATGAAGCATGAGCTCCTGGCTCTGCAGGCTGTTCCAGAGGGTTTGTTTGGGACCAGGCAACACTTCAGGGTTTGTACAATACTCTGCACACAGGCCTGTGATTCCAGCAGGGACCATGAGCACAACTGTGGTGAAAGTAGTTGATTTTGTCATTGCATGTGTAAGTGCTACTTCCTGGAATTCCCACAACTTGGTATGTTTGGTATTCCAAGGATTTTGATGTTGGTCAAATCTACAAAAAGAAGATCACTTTGATAAATGCATCCTACAGTGTTAATTACTGCAGACTGGTGGGAATCAGTGAATGGCTCAAGGACTTCATCAGTATTCAGTAAGTAAAATTAATTGCAGTTGCTTGTTCTAACTTTCTACCACAACAGGAGATGTAACTGAATTCTGTAGCAAATTCAATAGGTTTCAGTAAATACATCTAAATTATTTTATAATCCCTCTGTTTGATGAGGAGAGGAACTGTGTCTCAGAGGAAGAGGTTTGTTGAGAAGGGTCCAGGACATCTGCTTCCAGGTGAAAAATCTACATAAAAAGTTGAGGTTTCAACTCTTTTATGGCTGGCTGACCTGAAGAGACCATTTCTGGGACGGTTTAATCATACCCCAGTGTAACAAACAAGTTGTATCACCAGAGGAGCTGATTCCATACTCCAGAGATCATTGTGCAGCTCACTCGCCACTTCACAGGGGTAGATTGCACTTGGAGTTTTTTTTTACCAGAATAGGAACTGGATGTTTCATACATAGGTTTAATTTGGAATTTTATTTTAATTATCTCCATAGTTTTGACCCACCTGGCAAAATGTCTTCTGGAATGTCCTGTGAAGTGGTGGTAACATTTAAGCCAACGGTAAGTGAGAATGGTAAGAATCCTTGTATAGCCCACTGATTAAAAAATCATTAATTTAATTTCTTAACTGCTAGAAAGGAAGCAAACTCTATTTCTAGAAAAGGTATTGTTAGAGTTAGACCACTCTGAGTGTGTTCAAGATCTCTTAAATTGTAACAAGGCACATTCTAAGGGCACATTGTAGAAAAATCCCTGGCACTAAGTGTCCTTGGAGTACATCTTCAAACTTGCTCCAAACAGAAAGATTTCTATGATTTCCCAGCTAAAGTTATCCAGCTAAAGCCTGCTTTAAAGTGGAAATGTAGAATCTGGAGAGATAAATTTTAGTATGTTACTCAAACAACGAGTGAAAATTCATAGGCTAAATCTTTGCAAAATACTTGGAGTATTTTTGTTTGTTTGTAGATAAATGAGACTCTGGAAGGAGAAGTCATGTTTATGGCACAGACAGGTCCTTTTTCTGTTCTACTGAAATGCACAGCCAAGAGATGCATTGTAAGTGACTTTTTAAAGTATGTTCAGAGTCAATGTAACAACAGTAGTAGGAAATGTGAGATAGCATAAATGTTACTGAAAATATTTAGCAAGAGGCATTTATATTTCTTTCTTTTTTTCCCTTTTAAATGGAGAGTCTCTTCTGAGAAAGGTTGATTCCTTAACTTCCCAGATTACACCGAGATTCATACAAACTTATCTTAATGGTTTTACTTCATCCTGAAGTTACAGTTCATGGTTGAATGAACAGTTCTGCTTGGAAACTGATGACACAGTGTTACATTCTGAATGGGGGAAAGAGAAATAATGGTGGTTGCAAAGGAGCTATCTGGATCTTCTTGTCATTTTTGGAAATTCCATCCCACACGTGCAGTAGTTTATTCTGCTCCTATGAACACAATTTCACCTGTTTTTTCCATTGTCATCTAGTGGACTGGAAGTGCCTCAGTTTAACAAGACATTGTTTAATGAGTTGGCTTCTACAGAAAGGCAGAAGGATGCCCACAGTTCATGTTGTTATTTGGTACTGTCTTTGAAATGACAGTAAGAAGTTTAAAGTCCTGTTCTTGAAAAGGTGGATGCTCATTCAGTTGACATTGCTGACTATCTGGGGCAGTAGTAATGAGTGGTTCAACTCCTCACAGCTGGCACTAGATAAAGAGCTCATTGACTTCGGCAGCCATGTGGTGGGAGAGACAATTTCACAGACCATCACCCTGACAAACAGTGGAGCTCTGGGAACAAGATTCAAGGTTCAGACATCAGCAGGTGACAGCAGCACATGCAGAGCAACAGCAAAACCTTCTCCTGGAGGAATGGTAGGTTCAGAGGCCTTCCCCTGAATTGACAGAAACATTTTGGTTTTCTAAGTGTGGTAGAATCACAGAACAGCTCAGGTTGGAAGGGACTTCGGAATATCATCTGGTTCAAACATTAACAGTGTGTTTATGTTTGGGTTGGTGTATCTTAATACAATCTGTTAGACCCACAAATATCACAAGACAAATTAAAAACCAATAACTAGGGGGGAGGAGGAGGGAGCCAACTGATAATTTTTTTCTAACATTCCTGTTTTCTCCACATCTATTAAAATTAAGAAAAAATATTTCAGTTAAAAGAGGAGACTCTGAAAGTAATTTAACATCTCAGTTCCTGGACTACAGAATAATGCCAACTGCTGCAGAACAGCAATAATGTAATGGGACTTGGGAGCACTAGGCTGTAATTTTCTGTTAAAAAATCAGAGCTGTTGGTTTCTATTTCCTGTCTGAGACAGTCACAGTTATTGACAAGCTGTTGTTACAAGGGAAGAAGTCATCTTGGTCAAACTAAGAATTACATTGAGAGCTGTTGCCTGGAAAGCTATGATAGTAAAACAGTGTTAAAAGAATTGAAGGAAGATCTCTCAGATCAGTAATGGAATGAAGGCAAATTATTGTAGTTTTGTGTCCTGTCTTGGGTGGGAATGAGGCAGAGACTGTTGGAGAAACGTACCTAAAACTAAGATGCTTGGAGCAGATCTGGCAAAACGTGTGGTGTTAGACCTGGTATTGATTGCTCCTGCAGCTTGCCAGTGGCAGGGTTCACAGGAAACAGGGATCCTAACAGCTGTGCTCCTCCATGTAGCAGGGAGCTTAGAAGAAAGTGAGCAAACCATCAGCTTTGCATGTTGGCAATGTGGGACAGATTTTTGGAAGACTGAAGGGCTTAAGTCTAAAGATGTACTTGCTCCCTTTCTAAACAAATAGTGCATTTTATTCTTTAATTGGTGAAATCTTCAGATTAAAAGAGAAAAAGCCCACAACAGCCAACCACACACATTTCTCCATTTATAATGCAGAACAGTTGCAAGAAAACACAAGTCTGATTTGCAGCTGCCTGATAAAATTGGAGCTGGTGTAAGCTAGATGAACAGTCACAGCAGAAAATAGTTTATTCTGTGTTTTCTAACAGGTTACTCAATATTTCAGTGCCTGTGTCCCTGAAAAGCAAATCAGCAGTAGTTCTGTGACCTCTGTACTTGAAAAGAAGGAGCAAATTTGTCCTGAGCATGATGAGGGACTGAGCTCCTGTGCAGCCCAGGTGGAGCAGCAGAGGAGCCTGCCAAGCCTGGGCAGCGGCTCCACAGGTGAGATGACTGGTGGGGGAAACTGGCAGTGCAGAAGTTAATCAGTAATTAAGCAGTTCCTCATTCTAGTAGTAATGTTTCTTTGTATGCTGCCTCACAAAAAAATGACTAAAAATAATGTACTGACACCATTATATCAAAAGCAGCGAAGAATCTCACTTCTCATTAGTGATCAACAATTCAGTGTGGGAAGAACACAGACTAAGCAGCTCACAGAAACAGGAGCATTGTTATGCTTCTTGTCTTAGCAGCTGAATTCCCACCTCAGAACAGAAATCCATATGACAGGTTTATTTTTATAGTCTGTAATTCTAAGAACAAGGAAGCAGACAGATTAACCTCCTCAGTCATTTTCTGTCTCTTTCCTAATATTTATTATGTGCTAAATAAACTCCAGTGTTGTAGAATAAAGACCTCCTTAATTTCTTTACTGTCAATATTTAATATTGCTTTTAGATATTGATTGTTCCAATTGTAGGAAACTGAAAGTTTAATGAAAAGGTTGTGGCTGGTTTTTCTTTTCAAAATCTGGAATCTGAATTGTGAAATGGAGGGATTCCATAAATTGTGGTGGCTGCCTCCACAGAACACACACCTCTAAAGATGTTTTCAGACCTAAGTTAAAAAAAAAAATCCATTGCTTTGAAACAGTAATGACACTAATGAAACACTAATCTCATGACACCTTGATTTCAAGTGCCTAAGGTAGACTTCTGGACTAGGACAAAGTTGTATGGCCAAGCAAAAAATTTCCTTCTAGACATTTATATCTCTACATGATTGGTACACATTATTGACCAAAAATCAATGTACTTCTGCTCTTGTTTGTTTCAGTAAACAGATGCACACATCCAGCATTTTGTGGGGTTGTGTTTGTTGTGTTGTTTTTCCTCAGAACAACTTGGTCAAGATGTATTAAATTCCAGATCAGATCTAAACACAGACAATGCACATCATTTAGTGGAACTTTCTCCTGAAAAAACACCAGTTGAAATTATGCTTGGAAAGGTAATGAATACTCTGAGAGACTGACAAGATATTAACTAGTCTAAGCCTCCATCAAATAAATTGCTTTGGCTCTGATGGGATCATGATCATGCTTAAGTACATGATCAGTTTCAAGCTCCCTGGACATCACTGTATCACAATTCTTAAAATGAAATCACATGACATATATGTCCTTTATTTTGATCTGTAAAGCCTTGTTTGAACTGAAAGAATCTGCAGAGATTTACATTTCCCATAATCTTCTGTAAGATTCTGGCCATACCTGGTTGTGAAACCATGTGCCATACCAAGTCTTTTCTCTACAATAGACCTCCTTGGGAGCTACTGATGCTGGTTTTCCCCTTGCATCCAGTCTAGTTACAAACCAGGTGTGATAGAGGATTTGTCTAGTGTTAATGTACACTGCTTCTTGATTTCAATGCAATTTATACCCAACTACAGTCATACAGTCAGATTTTACTTTTTATTTAGGTTACTGAAGGTGAAATTGGGCCCTTCAGCTCAGTCAAGCTTCAGGTGATGTTTGTCCCAGCTGTCCCTGGGGAAGTGCGAGCAGAGTTTGTGATCGTGTTTGACAACTCAGACTGCAAACCAGTGAGTGATGTTGTGCAAGACTTGCTTCAAAACACTGGAGAGAGTCTGAAATCCTCCTACTTCTGCTTTTCCTGAGAATTAAAAGAGCTCAGAATCTTGTGTTAGAAACAGGCAGGGGACAGATAAATTTATGAATATTGTAAGAAATATCAGGGAGTTAGCTGATTATGCATTATCTGGTTTGATGGGAGGTAACTTTGTACATTATGGCTCTTCTTTCTGAGGCAGTGTGGTTATTAAACCTGTTGATTCTCTTTAAGTTTCTATGCAAATAATCCTGATATTCCCATTTTTTCAGACATTGTGCTGGGAAACATCAGATGGCCGGAAAACAAATACAAAAATATTCCCTCTGTTCCTAACCCCTGTATTTAATTTCCTTTGTGATATACCAGAACTGAAATTATTCAGCATGCAGTAGTGAAATTGATGTGTGAAAGCTGGAAGAGATGACAACTTTAGTTAATACCTCAGCATATTTTATTTCCATGCTTTATTGGAAGCCAAATTCTGCCTGGGAACAGTTCACAGAAGCTTGCCAAAAAAATAAACTTCCAAGGAGCTCCGTAGGGCAGTCGTGGCTCTGCCCACATCTCCAGATGGAGCAGTCTACAAAGGGAGCTGCAGGGATCATTTTGTCCATGGCTGAGCTGTGTGGTCCCTGATATCAGAGCTCAGGTTGTTACAGCCTGTGCTGCCATTAATCTGTTCCTTTGCTGGCTGAACAAGCTGCAGTCTCTGGAGTTTGTGGATGAGGGCACATTCACTCAAGCTAAATATTTCCTTTCAGGATCATGGGCAGCATGCTGTTTCTCTACACACGCAATTCTTTATTCTGGTGGGACACCATAAGGCCTAGGTTTTATTTTACAAATTATTTTGATGGCTTTGTCTAATTAAAGAACCTGTTGCCATATGAACAATAAAATATTTTAGTCAGCTTTAGGTGATGACAGAAATTTTTGCTCTTTCTAGATGAGTAAAAATTTGAGACTAACAAAAACACTGATACTCTTGATGTCTGTATGAACAGCTGTGCTTTGGTGCCATTGGAGTTTCAGCTGATGTGCCCATTTGGGTGACCAATCCCAATGTGGATTTGAAGATTTGTATGTATGACAGGCTTTACCAGGATTCTGTTGTCATACAGAGCAGGTGAGCTGCCCTCTCCTTATCAGCTGCCTTCTCTAGCTCAATAATGAGATCATAAGCCACTAGGTGATGTCTAGAGGTTCCATTTTGCCTTTTTTGTCTTTAGGTGCTGGGTGTCTCCCCTCTATCTAATGTAGTTGCTACTCAGTGCTTATTTTAACAATTTGCATTTCTTACATTCTATTTGAATAGGATTGGGGTGGGTTTGTGGGAGGGTGGGGAAGAGATGGGTTCTGTAGGAGGCATCCATTCTAAACCTCTTACCAGAATTACAGACTGCAGAGATTCTTCACAGTTGGAAAGAAATGAGTAAAGCTGTTATCTCAGAAATTCAGCTTACAGATCTGACAGGCCCAAGTTGTTATGTAAGTGATTTTACTTGGTCTAGATAACCCAGGGATGAAACTTCTAAGTATAGAAGCAGAATAAGTCTCCTAATGAAAACTTCACATTTCAAGGGGGTCCCAAAGATAGAAGCTGTCAAATTGCTGAGGGCAAAACTTCTTAACGGAGGGAAAAATCCTCCTGATCCTTTGCCAAGTTTTACTAAATTAAGGGCACTGAATGTGTAGCACAATGTCCTTAGTACCTTGACAAACCAAGTCTTTGTCTTATTACCCAATTCTCCATAGTTAGGAAAAATTATCTTTGTTATACTTTGCATCTCAGCCCAAGTGACTCTTATTTCATGGGCAGGACTATCATGTCTCAGCTTTTTATCCTGCAAAAGAAGATAGATTTCATTATTCAGTTAGAAGAAGTGCCGCAGAAGGTTCTTCCTCTAGTAGCTATTGACATTTCTCTGTAGTGTGTATCAGAGAGAGGATTCCCCATTGTTACATGGTAGATGTCAAACCACTTCTCAAACAGAAGAGTTTGAACTACTGAAATATCTGTAAATTACTCATAGTAAAGAGCCATTTCTTAGGTTAGACGAGTGAGTACCTATAAATTAATTGCAATAAAGTGGGAAAACGGAGTATTGCTGAGGTCTGTGGCCTGGAACTCTGCACAGGATCTGGGGCCAAGGACAATTATCAGGCTATTAAAGAAGTTTAAATTGCTGTCAATATACAAAGATAATAGTTTGCTACAACAGCTTTACCTGTGAGCTGTGTATCAGCTACAGGTACTACAGTGCTGCCTGTGAACTCCTGTTCACAGCAACCATCCACTAGAGGTATCCAAAGATCAGGTTACCACAGCCTAGAGTATTAATCATAGTATGTTAGTTAGACACCTTGTCCTGGCTCAAACCAGGACACACCTAAATAATCCTGCAATTCAGGAATATTCTTAGAAATGTTTGCTCCAACCTTGCTATAGTAAAAAAAGAAAAAAAAGAAAAAAAAGTAGGAACATCTAAAATTTGTAGCAAAAGAATTCTTCACATTTTGGGGGCAAAATTTGACCCAGACCTGAGAGAGATTATGTGTTAGAACAGCCTTTCGTTCACCACTGCTACACACCAATATCTGACAGAGGCAGAGCAGAAGGAATTTGTCTATTATTGCTATAATCTATAACCTGTAGCCTGCAGCTGAAGTAGAAGATTAAGTTTGGAGTTAGGAAGGTAGTTCTGGCACTTCAGTGCCCCAGCGAGCTCTGTAGAATTGCAGAAGTGGTTTTAATTTCAGTTTGGGTTTTATTTGTGTTTTTTTTCTGGCCACATAAGAAACAGTAGTCAGGAGCCATGAATAAGCAGATTAAAGGGTGAAAGTGTCTGATCAGAATCCTATCACATATAAATAATTAAAAAAACAATTTCTATGGGAGGTTATAATCTGCACTGATCTAAATAAGTAGTATGTAGTTCTCTGAGATTGTCTACAGGCAGAAATCATTCCCGACTCCCAGTACCACATGCTATAGCTGTTGATTTAGAGCAGACCATCTGGACTGACAGCTTGTAAATCAGTCCAAGAGAAGGAAAATGACAAGCTGAAATATTTGTACATTGCTTGGTAATTTTGCACACAGGCATAAAATTCCAAAGCAAAGTGAGGTGTATGTGGCTGGGTTGTGATGTGGCCAGACTTCATCGAATCACAGAATTCCAGGTTGGAAGTGACCTCAAGGATAATCTGGTCTAACCTTTCTAAGTACTACTCTAGTTTATATGAGGTGGCTCAGCACCCTGTCAAGCTGAGATTTAAAACTGTCCAGAGTGGGGGAATCCACCACTTCCCTTGGGAGGCTATTCCAATGTGTTGTCCTCATGGTGGAAAAATTTACCTCTTGTGTCCATTTGGAATATCCCCCAGAGCAACTTGTTGCCCATGGAACTTAACCTTGCAAGTCAGGTTAAGGATAATAGAAAGGGCTTTTTCAAATACATAGCTAGCAAAACTAGCAGTAGAGGCAATATTGGCCCATTGAGGAATGAGGTGGGAGCCCTGGTGACAGAGGATATAAAGAAGGCAGAGGTGCTGAATGCCTTCTTTGCCTCTGTCTTCACTCCTGCAGGGTCTCCCTATGAGCCCCAGATTCATATAGCCCCAGAAGAAGTCAAGATAGAGGAAGAGTTTGACATGGTAGATGAAGATTGGGTTAGGGATCAGTTGAGTAATCTGGACATCCATAAATCAATGGGTCCAGATGGAATGCACCCAAGGGTGCTGAGGGAGCTGGCGGAGGTCATTGCTAGGCCACTCTCCATCATCTTCAGTAAATCATGGGCAACAGGTGAGGTGCCTGAGGACTGGAGGATAGCAAATGTCACTCCAGTCTACAAGAAGGGCAAGAAGGAGGACCCGGGTAACTATAGACCGGTCAGCCTCACCTCCATCCCTGGAAAGGTGATGGAACAACTTGTTCTTGTGACTATCTCCAGGCACATCAAGGACATGGGGGTCATCAAGAGCAGTCAGCATGGTTTTATCAAGGGTAAATCATGTTTGACTAACCTCATAGCCTTCTATGAGGAAATTACTAGGTGGATAGATGATGGTAGAGCGGTAGATGTGGTTTATCTTGATTTCAGTAAAGCATTTGACACCGTCTCCCACAGCATCCTTGTGGATAAGTTGATCAGGTATGGGTTTGGTGACCAGGAAGTGAGGTGGATTAGGAACTGGTTGAAAGGAAGGAGTCAGAGAGTTGTAGTCAATGGGGTAGAATCTGGTTGGAGGTGTGTTACTAGTGGAGTCCCACAAGGGTCGGTGCTGGGACCGGTGTTGTTCAACATCTTCATCAACGACCTGGATGAGGGTATAGAATGTACCCTCAGCAAGTTTGCTGATGACACTAAGCTGGGAGGAGTGGCTGACACACCAGAAGGCTGTGCTGCCATTCAGAGAGACTTAGATAGGTTGGAGAGTTGGGCGGGGAGAAACATGATGAAATTCAACAAGGGGAAGTGCAGAGTTTTACATTTGGGGAAGAACAACACCATGTCCCAGTACAGGTTGGGGGCTGAACTGCTGGAGAGTAGTGTAGGTGAAAGAGACCTGGGGGTCCTGGTAGACAGGAGGATGACCATGAGCCAGCAATGTGCCCTTGTGGCCAAGAAGGCCAATGGCATCCTGGGGTGCATTAGAAAGGGTGTGGTTAGTAGGTCAAGAGAGGTTCTCCTCCCCCTCTATTCTGCATTGGTGAGGCCACATCTGGAGTATTGTGTCCAGTTCTGGGCCCCTCAGTTCAAAAAGGACAGGGAACTGCTCGAGAGAGTCCAGCGCAGAGCTACGAAGATGATTAGGGGAGTGGAACATCTCCCTTATGAGGAAAGGCTGAGGGAGCTGGGTCTCTTTAGCTTGGAGAAAAGGAGACTGAGGGGTGACCTCATCAATGTTTACAAATATGTAAGGGGTGAGTGTCAGGGGGACGGAGTTAGGCTTTTCTCGGTGATGACCAGTGATAGGACAAGGGGTAATGGGTGTAAATTGGAGCATAGGAGGTTCAAGGTGAATATCCGAAAAAATTTTTTTACTGTGAGAGTGACAGAGCACTGGAACAGACTGCCCAGGGAGGTTGTGGAGTCTCCCTCACTGGAGACATTCAAAACCCACCTGGATGAGTTCCTGTGTGATGTACTCTAGGTGACCCTGCTCTGGCAGGGGGGTTGGACTAGATGATCTCTCGAGGTCCCTTCCAGCCCCTAAGATTCTATGATTCTATGGCCCCTTGTCTTTTCCATGTGACTCCTTGTAAATAGGGAGTCTCCATCTTCTTAAAGAGGGAGATGTTTCCTAGCATCCAAAATGCCATTCACAGGGCAAACTGATCACGTTTCAGCTGAAGAACTGGCAGTTCCAGCTTAGCCACAGCACGACTTCTAGCCCAGCAGAAGAGGAGAAGTTTCAAGAGATCTATGAATTCACATCAATTTAAAATAAATCTCCATGGCTTTGGGGAGGATAAACCAAAAGCAGCAGAGCTTTCAGGGCAGTTCTGGCATACAACAGCCCCCCCCTACACACTCCCTGAATCTGAGGTTTTTTTCCCCACCTGTACAGGCTTAATTTTTGTTAAGGTTTTGAGGTGATTGTGATAATAATGAGGATGAGTGGAATTCACAGACTGGGCTCATGTTACTGTTAAGATACATTATGCTCTTTCAGGTTCATTCTTTTGATTCCTCTGACTTACAGGCTGAGTCATTAAGTACTTGTTAACCACTCCAGCAGCATCTAGGTACCCTTGGCCCCACTTAGATGCTGCTGGTCTTAATTCTTCTGTTTCTCAGACAGAATAACAGGCCTTTATTTGTGGAATCCCACCCACCACCAATTGCTACATGACCTAGATCCAGCATTACAAGACAATTTCTCCTTTTCCATCTTGAGTGGGTTCTGTGCTGCAGCAAGGACCAATTAGATGTCTCAAACATTCCATGAGTCATTCCTATTGATTTGGGTAGAGGGAATGGATGTGGGGAGCAAATAATTAGTGGGTATTTCACAATAATTTGGCTTTGACTTTCCCATGACCTGACTTACCACTGTGCTGCACTTTGATAATTATATTCCAATCAGCTGTGTACATTGCTGGAAATACAGCTGGGCTTACTTACAGTGTTTCCAAAATCTTGTTTTCTATACTTATCTTAAAAGAAAATACAACTGTGTGATTTTGCTGTAGCAGTTTTACATGCCCATCATTTTCAAAGGAAGCTTGAAATAACTTTAATTGCAGTGTGGAGTGGAGCAGCAGGGTGGGGGGCAGGGGGCACCAGACCCCAAGACAAACATTGCAGGGATGGCAGCAGGGGTAGCTTAGAGCCCCCTGAGCATGTCTGGTCTGTTTGCAGAGCTAAAACCACGCAGTGTTTGAAGTTTGAAGTCTGCAAAGAACTGAGTAAGCACATGGAGCTGCTTCCAAAAACCAGCTACATTCAAGCCCAGTCGTCCTTCAGTGTGCAGCTGAGGTTCTTGCCAAGGTAACCTCCCAACAGGGATCTTTGCACTATGTAAGACAGTGTCTGGAAGAGGCTGTCAGTGGAAAATCTGAGCAGGTCAGAGTTTTTTCTTCCTTCACACTGTGGCAGAGTGGACTTCACACTGCTGGTGCCAGATGCTCAATGAGGAAATTAACTTGGATCACATACCTGTGAGGAAATGCTTTTCCTGTGGTGACAGCAGCAGTGTGAAAATCTGAGCAGTTGCATTCGTGGTAGGCTGCTCACATTTCTCTGGAAAAGCTATTCTTATACAAGAAAGAGGCTATCTGGGCAGGTGGCTACTTCATGGATGACTGACTAAATAATTTCTGGACAAGAACTCCTGTTCTTGCTAATTAAGGTAAGAATGGTTGGGTTTCCTGTTCATATCTCTCCTGCCCCTGTGTATTTTTCTCCAAAATATGAATGTATTGATCATTAATTTCACGTGGTATTTTGTAGAACATCATCTAAGGTGCTAAAAGCCTTAACCCACCAAGTTTCTTTTCTCCATTTCATGATACATTTACATATACAAACATAACAGAGTTCTAGGAAACAAAGAATTCCAGTTTCTAAAAATTTCAATACAAGAACTCTAGCTGACCACTGTTAATTGTCTTTGCCTCATCATTACTATCCTAAAGAATTTAACAGGACATCTCTTTTCAAATACAAATGAAATTATGTAGGTCTTAATTCTGGTGTACAGCCAAATACTTGAGTGGCTTCTGCATTGATTGCTGCTGCAAATCTGTTGCTTTTTTATATAGGTTATCTAGTCATGGCATCACAGGCTGGTTTGGGTTGGGAAAGACCTTAAAGCTCATTTAGTTCCAATCCCCCTGCCATGGGCAGGGATACCTCACATTAGACCAGGTAGCTCCAAGCCCCATCCAAGTGATGTAAGTGTATTTGGATTTTTACTGATATGCTCAGCATCTCTGGACTCTAATTTGAGAGTCTGTTCACTGATTTTGATGTTCTTACCATGTTAGTATTCTAAGAACTAAAAGTATTTACAGTTCTTCCAACATTTGCTGTCCTATCAGATGACAACACTTGACATGTTCAGTTCAGATGCTGTAAAGCCCTGTAACACTTCCTGAGCGGAGAGAAGTATAGCTTGGATTTAGGACATTAATCTTTCTTTGAAAAACAGGGAAGCTTCAGAGAGGAGATTTGATGAGATTAAGGCATTTCTGACACCCCAAATGAGTATCAGGCTGTTTCAGTACACAGATCAGTTTTAACAGACCTGACACGCAGGGGGAGTGTGTGTATGACAGAGAAAAATGAGCTTGCTACAAGCTGATGTGAAGTACTGAGCTAGTGACACATTTCTGTAAATGCTTCCTCATGGATTTAGTATTATAAGCCTGGTTTTCTCAGAAGAAAAAATTGATATATTAAAAGTAACTGGAAACACTCATTCAACAATCTAAAGGAAGCAGAGAGATGCCTGGAAGCTTGGGAAGCTCTTCCCAGTATTCTGAGCACACTGAAATACTCAGAACTTGCTGGGTGTTTGGAGCAGACATTTTCTGTGTGTTTGAAGGCAAGTTCTCCAATCTGCTGACTTTCAGAATTCCCAAAAACCACAGCTTTTTTGGCATTTGGAACTAGTCCTGCAGATTTGCCTTTTATGCTTCTCTTTAATTGGTTTTAAGTGTGAAGATGCCATTCTTAGAGAACTATCTGAAGGATTTCAGTGTCTTTTCCTCTAGGGCCTAACAGCTGATTTTGAGTCCCTCACTGTGTACGTACAGTGACAATTATTTTTTTCCGTCTGGATTATTTTGTAATACATTAATTTCTTCTGCTATTCTAATGTCCTGTGACACAGGGAAAGCTGATACTTTATTCCTGCCTTGTGTCCAACTCCAATTTCTGTCTTTAAACAAGTTAGCAAGTGATCCTTTGAGGATCACCTTCTACAGTCACATTTCAGACTTGCGAAATAACAGCCAGGAAGATTTCAGATCACCATGGTGACTGAGTGGGTGCTATTGATTCATTAACTATTTTTTAACAATACTTTAAGAAATTGCATGTAATTCCAGTAGTAGTAGTAAGAATGTTGTCACTGTGGAGACCTAAGATCAGGAAGCAATGAAGCAATTCACTCTGGTGCTGCAAGACACTAAAAATAGACCAGCAGAGCTAAAAAGGCCAGAGCTGTTGTGTTGTCCTGGCTTGAAGCTGTGGAATTAAGGTTGTGCTAGCAAGATGCTTCAGCTACAATAAACCCACATATTTCTTATAAATTGCTAATCTGGTGTAGAATCAGACACTACTGGTCTCCATGTTGGTTTCACTTGGTATGTCTCTGCTTGGTGATAGGATTGGTTCTGCCGCAGGCTGGCTGGGCAGTAAGGTCAGTGTCAAAGTGGTTGCCCAGGCTGGGTGGGTTATGTGCTGTGCGTGCAGCAAAGGTGCAGGAGGATGGTTCTGAAGGAAGCTCTAGAGGATTTCAAATCTTAAATGACTGGATGGACTTTTTAAAAAAGAATAAGTGGATGCAAACATCTGTGAATAACTTCTTTCAACTCCAGTCTCTCCAAAATTCTGTCTTAAATAATAAAATAATCCAACACTAATGTACAAGGTCAAGTGCTCTAACTCCACTGGTGAGCACCCTTGAAATCCAGGCACCTGCTTAGCAATGACCTGCTAGGACATTTTCTAGGAAATCTGTGACAAATCCATCATATTTCTGATCTGTCTCTTCTTTTTCTGGTCAGAAGATTGAACTTCATAGGTAACTAATTTTTTATCTGGCATTTTCTACCACTCTTTTCCCTAATCCTTGCCTGCATCTTACATACAGGATAGTAGTTAGGCTTGACCTCAGTTGACCTCAGTAAACATGGGACTTGGTGCTTAACCAGTTACGTGACTATTCCTATTGGAGCACAAATACTGTGTTAAGGTCAAAAGCTGTGAAAATATAACTTGCAGACCTTAAGTAACAGGTTTGTTTTGAGGTTTTTTTGGTTCAGAAATACATCTTTCAAAAGTTAATTATTCCCCTTAGCTAGAAAACAGTAAAAATATTTTTGTGAAATTGAATATGCTTTTTGATTTTAGGCACTCTCTTCCTGAGGATGCAGGGAGTTATTTTGATGAAGAGACAGGAGTTCTGGAAGTTCCAGTGACAATACTGATTGTGGATAAGGTTAGTGATTTTTTATTATGCTGGTTATCAGACTGACAACATATGTACATCATTTTAGTGAATGTGACTTAATGATACCTCATCTTACATTAGTTCTTTACTTGTTGAAGTCCTGTGATGATACTAAAAGGTGCTTGAAGTGATAATACAGACTTGATAGGTGCTTATCATCAGCATGTTTACAATACAGAAAGTTAAATCCTTTCCAGTCAGTGTTCAGCTGTTCCCTCGTAGTTTATTTTGTAGCAGAGTTATCACATACTGTAGAACAATCCTTCTGTTCTGATCTGCACTGCAGATGTACAAAGTTCTCAGAGTTCTCCTGGAGATGCAGGTGTGATTCCATTCTAGCATATGGGATTTGAGATACTGATGCTGTATTTTTAATTCTGCTTATCAATGAGACATTTCCTATTGCATATTCTTGGAGAATAATGAGGCTGAAGTTCAAGACAGATTTGTCACATTTCCATGTGTTACTGTCAAGGGATAGAGCAGAGTAACATTTTTGCATTTTACAGTTTGGATGACATTTCACTTAAACCCTGTCCTTACAATGCTACAGATGGAGGGTTTTATCCTGTGCTCTTGCATTTGTTTCAGGGTAAAAAAGTGAATTTTACTGTCCATGCAATTGTTACAACTTCTGATTTGGAAATCAGTCCAGCACAAATTGATTTTGGATACTGCACAATCTATGAAGCTGTGCAGGCAAATGTCACCCTAACAAATAAATCCATCTTGCCACAAGAGTTTGGATTTGTGGGACTGCCAGAGGTATGTGGTTATCTCACATCTCTTCTGGTGTCACAATATATATAATTATTATGAAAACATGTTTCAGTGTGAATGTAAATAACTCATGTCTGTTTCTTGCAAACCCATGGAAATGCTCCTGCCTGCAGCACTGTGGAAACACACAGATTAGTTCTGGTGCTGGTTTGTGTAAAGTTCATCTTCCTGCACCTTGAGCATTTTCCCAGCAGTGTAGACATCTTTGAGGGGATTCTACTATTCTCACCACATTCTTGAAGGATCATTAACTCAAACACAAACCAACAGAGACTTGTTATTAAACTGGTACTTGTCACTATGGTATCTACACATCATAAAGGGATCAAATCTTCAGAGATACAGGAGGAATTTTTCAGATTTTTACCATATTTCATTCAGTTGTCTATGGAGGGAAAATAAACATCAGCAGAGAAAGGTGATTACCATGGATGGTAGGAAGCTGGAGAAGAGATTCTGCCTTTCAGGCTACTTTGGGATCAGAAAAATGCAAGCTAGTCAGACACTAGTCACTAATTCATATGGAAGCTTCTCACTAGAAGGTTGCTGTTTTCCTGGCATTTGTACATTTAGTAACAAAATCTTCCAAGTAATGTCTTCTTTTAATTTAGTTAATAATTTGACAACTAGCAGTTTCTAATTTTAATAACATTCATTTCTTATCCTGTCATTTTGAAGTTTGTTGAAATTCAGCCCAATGATGGACTTGGAATTCTTCTTCCCCTTGAAAGCCTGACATTGGACATAATCTTTAAAGCTAACAAGGCAAAAGAGTACAGCTTTGAACTAACCTGCAAGTCAGAGATTAATAGGTATGTTAACAAACTGATGGAGTAGCAGGTAGTCTAGAAGCCTAAATCACCCTGGATTTCCACTGTTAAGGTAGTCCAGAAGTTAAATCCTTGCTTGCTTGGAAAAAGTAAGGCTAAGACAAAAGTGTGAGGCAGGTAAGAATTCTAAGAATTCTGGAGTTGACTCAGTGCAAGTGAGTTTCATCATTTTCATCCTTCATTCACATCTGTCTTTGCTGAGATGACTTTTCCTGACCCTCTGAAAGCTATCACATATCTGAGATGCAGTTGTCCCAGATCATCTTCACCTGCAATGTTCTGCCTGCTTTTTCAGCAGAATGACTGGAGGATTTTATTTTCTTTAATGCTTCAGACATTAAGCTAATGCTACTAAAATAATGATGGCATAAACTTTGATTTGACTGGATGTATTTCCAGAAGTTCACAGAGGAAGAATTCAAGTAGGGACTCTGGCCAATTGTGCATTAAAAATAGATAGTATTATTGTTCATCTTTAGGCAAAATTCCCATTGCAAGCTTGAAATTCTGCTTAAATAGGGACTACAGGATTAGTTCCCTATTTTCCAGGCTGATTAAGAGACTATTTTATGCTGAGACAATCTATCATGTGTTTATTTTTAGACAATTCAAGCTGTCATGCAAAGCAGTTGGAGTCCACCCACCTCTTGAGTTGTCTCATTCCTTGGTTCAGTTTGCTGCAACAGCTCTAAACAGTGTCTCTACAGCAACACTGTATGTGATGAATTCCCATGTCAGTGCCAACCCCTTCACTCACGCTGTCCCAAGAATTGGCCATGGGGAAATTGCCCCTGTTGGACCTACTTCCTTTGAGTTCTGTGTGCCAGGAGACTGTCCAGTGACAATTACACCTTCTGTTGGAACTGTGTTGCCTGGGAAGGTAAATTCACTTCAAACCTCAAGAGTTCTGCCAAATCTTTTGATCTTCTACATTCCCAAAAATGCTTGTAAACAAAGCTGAACGTGGTAATTATTATTAGAATAGCTGGAATATTTTATAATGTTTGAAATAATGTTTTAACTCAGACCTGAGGTGTTACTCTTCAATCTGGCTAATGCTTTATGGGAGGTTTCACCTTGAGTGTTGTTACCCCCGTGCTGTCAGTGTGCTTTGTTTGAAGAATGTTTAAATATCAAAAACTTGGGTCGTGTAAAACCAGCACCCTGTAACACAGTGGGCTTCCAAAAAAAAGCTGGAAAAAGAATGTATTTTATTTGTGAATATTTTGGTGTCATGTAAATGCTCCTATTGAGCTTTGCCAGGGGTAAGGCAGACGGGAGGGCTGAATGGTGCCTGTCCTTCTTTGTGCTCTCACACTCCCAGAAAAGCTTGATTCAAGTGTCCTTCAGACCAGCCTTGCCAGATCAGCTCATCAGAGAAGAGGCAGCTCGAAGGCTTGGCAGAGCAGCTGCAGCAGGGGCAGAAACACAAGTAAGGAATGCTAAGAACTAGCACATGCTGTTGGTCTGTTACTGACAGATATTCAATGCTCTGGATGGTATTTTTATCATAAAATTATTTGCATGTTAATGAAGCCCAAACTCACGATCCATGTAAGACCTGCCTATAAAGGACAAGACTGACTGTACCATTCCATTTAATGTGTAGCCTGTCCACTGAGCAATAATTTAATTGCATGCTAACAATTTCAAAAGCATTCCCAGAGGACTGTCTTGCTAACTGGAAATACTCTTAGAAAACAAAGACATTTCTACACTTCTAGCAGATTTGCAGCATTTGTGGGATGCACACTCTCACCTCCCAGAGCCAGGACTGGGTACCTCTAAAGTGATGCCCTGGTTGGATCACCAGTGATCACTCTCAGTGTATAATGTCTCTGTGTGTTTGCAGAAAAGCAAGGAAGATGAAAAGAGAGAGGGGGATAAACCACATGTTTCCATGAGCAGACAGCAGCCTTCCAGAGAGCTGGGAAGCGATGGAGGCAGCGAACACCCAACTGCTCTAGATAGTTCTGAACAACCAGAATCCGAAGAGTTAAAGCCTGAGTAAGTCAGCAAAAGCATCTTGTACTACACAGACAACATTATAAGTAGCTTAATGAATCTACTAAAACCTATAGGTAGACAAGATGCAAACTGGAGAAGAAATAGCTTTAGCTAAATTGCAAAGGCTGTTTCCAAAATTAGCACTGCTTTTAAGCCACACAGCTGTACCCTCTCATGTAAGGCAAAGAATCCCTTTATGCAGCAGAGGGATTGAAGACTTCAAAGAATATTTCAGAAAGCATGAGAAGTGGCTGAATGGGTAAATTTGGCTGAACCAACAAGGGTATTATTTTAAAGGGCAACTAGAAAGCTGAACTTAGTTACCAAAATAACCTGCTACTATTATACCTTTTCTGAATAGGTCTAACAGATCTGAATACATTCAGCCCAGATGGAAACCAGCTGATGGCCCATACCCATGAGGCTGGGTTGATTTTTATTTTTTTTTAATGGTTTCCACAGTCCATCCATTATTCATGGTCACCTTCTGTCCTGGAAATGCAAGGATGTTGTAAAACGTGCATATTAAATGGTAATTTCACAATCTGTGTATCTCAGTGATAATTCATGTTAGTAGCATGTGCTATCTAGAAATGTGGATAGTTAGGTGGAAAATGTGATACCTGAAGTTCCCTGTTTAGTAAACAGTGCCACTGTTAGAACCACATTAGGACCACACTTCTGTCCAATCTGAGGAATTTAGAAGTGTTTGGAAGTAAATCCACGCTTAAGCACCAGGCATTTGGCTGTACTGGAGATTAGATATTTTTGAGTAAAATGTCATGTTCATTGCAAGCCATTAATTGTAATTTTATATACTTTCAGTACAGGTCATAAAAATAAAGCTTCTATTTGAAAACCCTGATTATGAAATATTGCTTGGCCTCTTGTATTGCAGAAATGTGATCATGTCTGTTCACAAATCATTGAAGTGATCACAGAATCATAGGATCACTGTCATGTTCAGTTTTGAGTGTCTGACTAAGGAACAGTAAACACAAATAGCTCAGATCATCTTGCTAAGATGATTCCTATTCCTGGATTTTTCTAGTTCTGATGCTTATCTGGCAGCCCAGGCTTTCCTGATCAGGAGTTTCAGAGGGAGGTTTGAAAAATACATCATACCAGGCTTTGTTGCAAGTGGCCACACAGATGAAAAGAAAGGCTCTGGAGAGCTAAAGTGCAGGTATGTGCAGTTGATGTGTGAGTCGTGACAGCTCAGAAATCCCAGAGGCATGTGCATTTTTCATTTGAGGAGGAAATTTGTTTTCTGATGTTAATTACTTCATAGGTCAGTGATAGAAATTCATGCTTACAACCCACTAGTTGGTTAAGAATCAGACACATGAATATCAAAGCAGGTAAGGAATAACTGAGAAATGCAAGCCAGTTGTAGTTTATATTTCTGCTTAGACATACATAGCACCAAAGATCATATTTTGTAGTACCAATTTAATGATGTCCTGTGATACAAGCAGAATAAGAACAGATTGCTACCAATAGGGGTTTTTTTCTGTATGATCCAAGAGCAAATATCTCTTTTCTATCTCTCTAGCCCTCACAATACCTTGTATTTGGAGTTGCACTGTCCAGCTGTAGCACCAGCCGTTGTGGTCACTTCAGATAATGGAAAAAACTCAGTGAATTTTGGGGATGTTGCTGTAGGTATGAAATTCAAATTCAAGTTTTTTATTTTTCCTGATGTTCAGTTCTTCTGAGCACAATTTTGCATTTTCTGTTATTTTAGTTGATTTCCAAAAGCCAATATAGAAATGAGCCTTGTAATAGGTAGTTAGGTGGAAAAGCAGGAGCCTGTCTTGGACAGCTGAGTCATGTAAAAAGCAAACTTGATCCAGAAACATGGAATCAGCTCTACCAGTGACTGTCCAAATCTGAAAGTATTTTAGTGAATTTTGACTAATGTTTTAGCCCCAGAAATGGACTGAATGTTTGGCCCACGTAGAAGCATGCCTAAAATGGAGGAATGGTACTGCATGAATGAGCATCCTCACTTTCTGAAATGTTTTCATTCCTGCCAGGCCATAGAATGATGAAGGAAATTACAGTACAAAACATCTCCCCAGAGAAGGTGGATGTATCCTTGTTTGGAATCGGTAAGGTTATCTGCCAGTCAGCTTCTCTTGGGAGTCTTTAACTGCAGGAACTGGATACTGGATACTGCTGCTACTGGAGCTACAGAGAGACTTATGAACTGGAAAAGGAGCCTGCAGCTATTTGAATTCCGTGGAAAAAGAAATAATTGGATAAGTTCTTCTTTTATCTTAGTTGCTGTTTTCTGAAAAAGCTTTAGATGGTTTGTTCATACATCTTTGGTCTGAATAATACTTGGAATATTTTCTTGTATTTTTCCCCCAATCCTTGTTCACAAACTTTTTTCCTTGAGTCACACTATTTTAGCTCAGATTTTCAGTTCTGAATCCCAATGGTCCCTTTCTGTTGGTCAGAGCAGTTAGAAATCTTGAGCCAGGTGAAGAGAAAACCCTCATCATCTCTTTTTGTCCAAATGGGAATAAATGGGTGAGTAAGAGATGCAGTAGTTACTGGGGAAAAGAGGAGAGATGGCAAGATGTCATGGGCTGTGTAATGCACACATATTACTGACTGGAGTGAGGCTGTATGATAATAAAAACTTTGGCTGTGCAATAGCCCCTCCCAACATTTGGATCTTGGTCTATGCACTAAATCCAGAAGTTCAGTAGTAATGGCCCATTTGTGGAAGGGGAAGCAGCTGTAGATGGGGGGGGATGATTTCCTGCAGCAAATGGTCTAACACAGACATCCTCTTGGCAGTGCTTTGAAATGCTGGACATCCAGACAGCAAAGTCCAACCTAACCCTCAGTCTCACGGGTCAAGGGGTGATACCATCCATTGTTTGCTCTGTGGGAGAAGTACTGGATATGGGATATGTCATAGCCAGAGACAAAGTGACGTCCACATTCAAGGTAAAATTCTCTGTGCTGATCCAGAAAGCACATCAGCAATTTTTGTGAGGAGGAGTTCTGCAGTTCTAGTCTGGCAGAGCATAAGGCTGAGTGGCAAACTGTAGTGAAGAGAAGAGAGCTTTAAAAGCATGTCTGGCACAGTGGGATTTGATGCTGAGACAGTTTCAGGCCAAGGGTAACAAAGCTGTGCAGGGAGGATCTTGTTTGCTGCTTCTGTCCTGCCTGCAGCCTGTGCAAAAACTCAGAGATCCAGTACATTCTGTAACAGAGAGAGAGCCAGGGCCTGTGTGATCTTTTCCATAGACCCAGCCAGGATGCAGAGGGATGGGAAGTCAGAAATAGCTTTGCTTTTACCAGTGTTAGAAATATTTGTCCTTGCTCTTTATTCTGTCCGTTACTCCTACCACACTTGAAGCAGCAAAATAAATTCAGCCAGTTCACAAAATATGGATCCTACAGGCTCAAGAATAAATTTTCTTAATGAAAATGCTGTTTTGTGGATTAATGTCACCAGGTAGAGAACACTTCCACCCTGACCCTGCGATACTCCATCCAACTGGATTCACTTTCACCAACAAGGCACAAAGATCAGCAGAAAATTCCATCCTTTATCATGTCCTCTTTGCAAAGAACTGAGCTTGTTGGTAAACTTTTTTTTTTTCTTTTCTCTTTCTTTTTGTTCAAGACTCATGAAGTATAAAGTAGCATTACTTTGTCCTGTTAGATCTACACAACTGTCATAACTTGGGGCAGCACATCACTGAATTTCAAGACATGATTTTGTTTCCTCAGCAGGAGCTGCACTAATTCTTTCAGTATGGGTGGCTGTAAATTTATGCAGCCCAAGCAAATATCCACAGGTCAGGAGATATTAGTGTTTGAATCTAACACAGTAATTGTCTATTAAAGATTACCTGTAGGGGTGTTCATCTCTGTAAAAACACTTTAGAGTATAGGAAGGGTTTGGTGATGCTCTAGAGGTGAACACAAACTGGTAGATGGATTTATCTGTTATTTCTAACACCCAGTTTTGCTCCAAAACCATGTATCAGGTCTTACTTGCTGTTCCAACAGAAATTAAATTGGTTTAAAATATATGAAGTAGTAAAACAAAGCTGCCCTTCTTTCTTATTTATATCCTCATTTTTTTTACCAGGAACACAGAACTATAGCGGCTTAAGTGTGTTCAGTGTCTTTCCAACAGAAGGAGAAATTTTTGCTGGGAAGAGTGAGGATTTTACTGTTACTTTCAGTCCTGATCATGAAAGTCTCTACTATTCTGACCATCTCAAGATGGTGCTTTTTGGCAAGGTAAGACAATCAAGATACCTTGATTATGAAATCAAGTCCAAGTATGACCTACTGTGATTTTTATCAGCATGGGTCTTAGTAGGAGTTTCAAATAGTTGTATCTAGTGGACAGCATTTGTAGGCAGAAACATTATCTCTGTTAGATTAACTGATGTAGGCAGGAGATGGCAGGTTTGGGGCTTTTTTCAGGTTTTAAATATTCAGTTATTAATTCCTAACAACAGTGAGTTGGGATTCAGCCCTATCTGCCCAGCTGCCTGCCCTGTGTGATGAGGTGGTGAGAGGTGGTTGCTGCCAAGCACAGCTCCAGGTGGGTTCTCTGCAAGCAGAGAGTGGAGCTGCACCTGCACGGAGCAACTGCCAGGGGCACCGCGTCCCAGGAAGGTGCTTCTGCAGGCACTCAGCATGAAGAAGGAGGTTTCCATCTGCAGAGCAGCAGTTGAGCTCAGATGGAGCCCAAGTCAGGATATACAGGCTGGCAGCCCGGCCTGCCAAAAGAGCCTGCCTGCCAAAGGAGGCTGACCAAAAGTTAATGAAGAGTGCCAACTAATGACCACCAGCAGGCACTGCAAACAGCAGAAACGGCGAGGAGCAAGGGAATAGTTCGGTTCACTCCTTGCAAGTTTTGCATCTCCCTATTAGCTCTGGAATTGTGGTTAAAATGCCAGTGGGATAAGATGAAGAGGAAAGGAGATTGGTCCTAGTTCACAATCTTTAGCCACGTTTGGTGGCAGAGAAGTTTTGCCTCTTCCAGTCACTTTCTAAAGAGTGTGTCCAGTCCCCTCCTGAGGCACATTGCCCAGGAAGGAAAGGTTGTTTGAAACAAAGTGCCTGAGTGAACAAGGCCAGGGGAGGATGCAGGATCCTTACATCAGAGTACAGGACTCTTGGCATTTAAATAGGCAGATGATGTAAGAATTTCTATGTGCCTGCTGCTGTTGTGTCAGCATACGAGCTACATCAGTGCTGGAACCTGCATCTGAAGCATTTTTGTCTTACATAGGAACTAGCCCATGTGATCCAGCTAAAGGGAGCAGCAAGAGATCACCCAATGTTTGTGGAAGGGGGAATTCCACTGGATGTGCCCATCGAGTCCCTGGCTGTAATATCCCCTGTGCCATTGCAGGGAGCAGAGAAAGAAGGTGATGTGCTGCCACTTCAGCTGTGGCACAAACAGACACAGGCGTGTTTCTCATCCTTTAGGAAAAAGTAAATGAAAGACAGCTTTTCCAGAATCAGAACACAAAAGCATTATGGTTTAGCCTGTATTCGTAACACAAAGAAAATACAGGAAACTTTTTTTTAAGGAAAGATTTTCTCTTAATTTTAATGCAGTTATATCTTAATGATGATCTTCTATGCTTGCAACTTACCTTGCAAAAAACAAGTATAATTTAATAGTACTAGAAAATATTAAGATGTATTTGTTTTCTGCCACTTCTCTGACTTACATAATAACATATCCTGGACTCTCCCAATTGTAATGTTATGAAACAGTCACATTATCAGGGGTTTCAATTTATCCTTCCTTAATTTCTTTGGACAGGATCTGTGTTCAGAGACAGTATATAAGCAACTCCTATCTCCTGAGCTATAAATAAGTCCAAGAACATATCGTACACAAGTAGGAATATAGTACACATAGTGCATGTGCTGGAGGGCCAGAGAACAGGCATGAAATTTGATAGATAATGAACAATAACAGTTTGCAATTGCAAATTATGCAAAGCTTACTTTTGCTTCATTTTTCACTATCTCTGTAAGAAGGATCTCCTTAACTATGCCAGCTCGTGAATGTGCCACAACATCACTTTGTTTTGAACCACTCTGGTGTAATTTATGGATGTTCTAACCTTGTAATTGCTGATTTGACTGTCTCAAAGCTTCCTTGATCCATATTTGTTTAGAGCTACAAGAACCACCAGCAAAGTCCATTCTCCTGGTTCTGGAGTACATGGACAGAGAGGATTCCCCAGTGCCAGCAGTGACAGAACTGAAAGTTGGAGCTATACAGACAACTCAGTTTGCATCTAAGAAGGTGAAGAAAATAAAAAATGCAAGTTTATGTCAGACACTGTAAGAAATAGTAACAGTGTACATATGCCTAGTAGTTCTTTCTATCAAAAATTCAGTCTCTAAGTTAAAAACTAAAGGCTCACAGCATCTGGGTGGTGCAGCCTTTAAGAAGCAGTGGTTGTGTCTGAAGGAGCAGCCCCGTCTGTGCTGAGGGTGTGCTCTGTGTGTCTCTCCCAGAGCACGGAGTTCAGTTTTGACGGCCTGGCCCTCCTGAATCAAAAGGGATTTTCTGTGGAACCCGCGAAGGGAACGGTTGAGCCTGGTCAAGTCAAGATCCTCGATGTTTCTTGGGTGCCACCTGCTGACTCTGCCGTAAGTGACAGCGCGGCTGCTTCCCCCGACTTCAGGAGCAGCACAAAAGCAGATCTTGAAGATGTCAGCAGTACAGGCTGCTTTGACAATTCAGATGACAGAACATGTGTTGTTACCAAAGGGAGTCTAGGCTGGTATAAACACTGATAGGAGAATAAAAGCCAGAATAATGTGTGATTTGGAGGCTTGTTACCTCACCAGGGACTTCCTCTGTGTGATGAAAAGACCAATTGTTAGTCACTTGCATCTTACAGAACTTAGAGTTTCTGACTTCCTACAGGTCACTACATTATAGAGCACCAAAATGCTGCTGTTAACTAGCAGCCACAGCTCTGATCACACTGAAGTGAGCTTTTTAATCCCCCTGAGCAAGAAAACCTGCAGTCCTGCTGACACAGAACTACGTTCACATGGATCATTCTGCTCCAGAGTTCGCTTTTCTTTTGGCTGTGGGCTGCCTTTCCTTTGGTATATTCCTGGAAGTCAGTGGGGCCTTTTTGATTTTCCACTGCATGAACTACCTTGTGAACCCTGTTTGCCTGGGTACTTCTGCCCTTTTGTATTGCAGAGTCTAGGTATGAGGTTCAACATCCCTACAGGGCTGTGATTGCCCTTCCTGATTCATCTTCCTGGGCATCCTTGGAGACTGAAAGACTTTACTCCCTGGCTTTTTGTTGTGAGCTGAGTGTGGGATGGCAGAATGGGTAGCTTGTTCCAAAATTAAAAGATTGCTGCTATCATGTGCAGAGAGAAGTCAGCAGAATTCCTGGAATGATGAATCGGGTTGACATTGTGCCTCTTGGTAACCCCTGGTTGTTACACAAGATTTAACACTAACTCATGGCTAACAGGATGCATTTCCAGCATCATGTGTTGCTGCTGTGCCCAGTTGTCATGGCTGTAACGTGGTGACAATATCTGTGCCACTCTGGAGGCAGAACACTCAGTCATGGTTACTTTACTTCCTGCAATGTGAGATTGTATGGAAATGTAAGAGCCAACACAGCAGGGAGAGGTAATCTATAGCTATAACTGGTACATTTTGCAACTGAGCTGTAAAACACATAGTTTACAACTCGATTAACTAATCTGTTCTAGTGTACAAAAAAAAAAAAAAAAGTTTGGTTTGATATGTGGATTTTTTTGTAGGCTGGTGACCCTCTGCTTGTGACAGCCCTCCTGACCTTGAAAAGTGACATTAAGGAATGTTACCAAGTCCTCTTCATGGCAAAAGTCGCGTCTGCATGTGCTCCCACTAAGTGAGGGAAACAAGCAAAGGAAAGGAAGATGGAGGCCAATATTGCTGGGAAATCCACTGGATCTCAGTTAAAACATGGGAAGATTTTGAGATCATTGCAAATACGTGAGGGGAGGAGGGAAGTGGGGAGGAAGGGGACATGTACTATTTCTGCTTTTTTTCCCCACAACATTCTATGTAGACTCTGGTTCCACTAGTTTCTTTTTCAAGCTGACTCTCTAATAATAATCTTGTGCTAGAAGAAAGAATTCATGAGGGGCCAAGTAGATACATCTGCTGTTTACCACCGTGTCTTCCAAAGGTGTCCATTCTCTCAGGAGGAATATCTTTTTTACATCTACATGGGTGAGTTTCAAACAATGTATTCTTTTCCAATTTCAGATGCACTTTAAGGGTTTGAAAAAGCCTTGAGGTGTTCCCTGTTAAGGCCAAAATAAAGCTTCTCATTCAAGTCTCCTTCAAATTGTTTGTGCAGTCATTTTTACCATACACTATGAAATCTTGATGATATGTGGTCAAGGAGCAAGTAGTGACCACGCTGTTCACTGAATTGCAGGATATGGTCAGACACTTGCCCTAGATCAGGGCTGTCCAGGAACTTTATATATGTACACTTGCTTTTGCCTGAAATCTGACTAAGAGTAGATTTCTGCCTCTTGCTGGGGAAGTTGGAGTGGCCTGCAGGTGTAACTTCTGCCAGGAAGCAGAAGCTACTTCAGGGAAGGGAAACAGAGGCACCATTGGCCCCTGTGTAGCTGTTGAAATTGCTTACTTAGATTATGCAGTAAGAAAAATAGAAACAGATATTTGAAAACATCCCAAAGCTGAAATGTGTCAAGCTAGCTGGACTGCAGGAAAAAGCAGTTGTCACAAGAAATATTTCAACTAGTTTCCCGTTTTATGGAGGAAGCTTGGATAACTGATAATGAGAGGCTTCTTGTTTTCCCAAAGACAGTATGTTTGATCCATTCAGATCTGTTCTCATTTAATAATGGATCAAGTGGCTGCGAAGTCACTTAACTCTCCAGTCTAAAGCATGACAGATGCTGGGGCAATAAACAGGAAGGAGCTGGGAGGGGGTGGCAGTGCTGGCCAGAGACAGCTCTGCCTTCCCCAGAGCACTGGGCAGTGCTGGGGACACAGCTGGGCACTAGGGTTGAAGAAGAGGACAATGACATTTGTGTGTGGATTCTCTCACAGTCCTTGCAGCCCTGAGAGGGAGATTAAATACTGCAACATAAAATGGAATTGCTGCAAATGTTACTGCAGAGTTGAGAGCTCACCTAATGACAAGGAAAAGCAAGGAAGGGCACAGCATGTTGTAGAGGAAGGTTTATTTCAGGCAGTTAATTTGGGGGCATCCATTATTTGAGGATCCTTTGGATTTCACTCCTGGAAACTGAAAGGTAATGACTGAGACTAAGTTAGTCTCCAGACTCTCATAAAAATATTATGTGCTGAAAATAAGTGTAAAATCACCCACCAGGAAACCACACCTCTGTCTTAGGAATCTTCTACTTCATAAGGTCAGGTACTGTGAAAAATCATCCAAAGGATTAAAAAAAGTAACAAATTTAAAGCATACAGGTAAAGACTGTGATGGTGTTGAAAAAAATATGGAGGTTGCTTGCAAGAAAGAGCAGCTTAGTAAGCAGAAAGAAGGTGTATGTGCAAGGACTAGCAGGTCCAACCAATAGTGTTTGCATGGACACTCAGAACAGCTTTGGGGAGCTCTGAATGTGCCCAGTCAGTCATAGAAGTTGGAGAGTCAGCTGAACAGTGTTAAATTAGTGCATTTGGAAAGTAAAGCTGGTTACAAAGAGCTGCCACTGACTGGCTAAAGGTAAGCAAAAGGTGTAACCCATTTTTAACTGAATCCTTTGGACTTTATCTTCAAAAATCATTAATAATTTCACAGACTTGAAGTGAGCATAAGGGTCTGGGCTTCACTGGTCAAAGCTTATGTGCTTTAAGCTAAATGTGTTTTCCTTCTCTCCAGGGGGAGTGTTGAACCGTGATAATAAGAACAGGTTGCTATTTCTGGAGTACTGAAAATAAAGAAAACTCTGCAACACACCAGCTGACATTCTGTGAAGCACTTAAGGAAATCTGAACATTTTTTATTCTGTTGCATGAGAGAAAAGCCTGTTATTCTATCCCAGGCCTCAAAAGTAGTACTATTTGATTTCTGGGGGGCATAATGGCTGATTCTTGAAGGGTTGGGTTTTGCTTTCTGCTTGGATTGGTTTTGCTCTTCTGGCACACACAGTTCCATGTGCCCAGCTGAAGCAACATGAAGCAACACTTGAGCAACAAGACAAGATGATGTGAAAGGACAACCCAAATAATCTGATGTGGGAAAGCAAACTCAATGTGAAACTAAATGGTCTATCCTGCTTCATCTGCAACACAACTAAAACTTTCAAAGCATAGTCACTTTTTTCCTGCAAAATTCTTCATCTGCAACACAACTAAAACTTTCAAAGTAAAAGCATAGTCACTTTTTTCCTGCAAAATGTTGCCCTTGCATGTTCTACTATCATTCAAGTGAGAACTACCAAGGGATAGAAAACAGTGGGATCCTTTACAGAAAGAAACAACTAATCCTCTGACACATTTGCTGCAGTTTTTGGGCTTGGTTTAGCCCTTAAATGAAGTATTGCAATCTAGAGAAGAGTGAAGCAGTAGGTTTCCCTTACAGCCCTCAGACAGAGCTTGTTTCCTTGGCTCTGCTGGAGAAGTCAATGCCTAAACCCTGTGACAGCTGCTTGCTGTTTCATCACTGGGACTCTTACTTGCCTAAAACATCCTGCTTGTGTGTGTGGTTATTGCACAAGCAAGCCAAGAATTCAATAATAGATCTGACTTCTAGAAGAGAAATAATGAAAATAACTTTATTTATCTTAGTAACATTACTTTTGCTATATTTTAAATTGGTACTGGGCCTCTTCAGAACTCTCACTGCAAGTTTGCAATGATCTCAGATGTGCACTGTCAGGGTATTGAAAATTTAGGAGTTCTATATATATGTTCCTACCTAAACAATTCTTATGTGTAATTTATATGAAATTCACTTCTTGATCTTGCTCCAACACAGGAAAGAGAAATTGGACTGAGATGAGTGACTGCTGGGAACAATTCTCCTGCTGATTTAGAGACACAGCTAGCTGAACTGAGCTGGGTTTGTAGGTGATCCCTTGAGGACATAGCTGAGAGTGCTCCTGCATTTTGCTTGCATGGCTTAGTGCCAAATTCACAACTACCAGAAGCTCATCACAGCAGCTCCAGCCTTCATGTGAGTTAATCTCTTGAGGGAGAAAAAAGTCTGGTTCAATACTGTGCTTCCAAAGCAGGTTATCAACAATCAGAGCACATTCAGTGTTAAAATTGCCAGCAGGTTCTAAACCACGTAATCTGATGTTTCTGTTTCCATTTTATAGGACTTCAATAGGGATGGAGCCCTTACTGTGAGGATAATGCAGAAAATGTAACCTCAGACATGGATCTAAGTTTCCCAGAAGCTTAAGTTTTCTGCTCCTATAACTGTACTCCTGAACACTATCCTTTCAGATGGTTTTGCAGCTGTGATCACTCTTGGGTCACTGCACAGTAACTCTTGTACTTTCAGATTTGTTTCTTAAATGCTTCTTGACTCTGATGCAGTTCTGGCATATTAAGAAAGCAACTCACATCCGTGTATGATCTTTATAATCCATAAAAGCTGTATCTATTAATTTCTATGTCAGAAACGAAGTGAGAGAATAAGTACTAATGTCACATACATCTTAAATACATGTTCTGCTTATCCAGTGACTTCAGGGATTGCTTCACTCTGACAAATGCAGTTTCTCCTAAATGAGCAATGGTCCCATGACCCTGAGCAGTCCTGTAGGACAATACTTTAGTCACTGTGCCCAATGTCCTCACTGAGCCTTCAAACACTTTTGGAGCATTGTGGTAAAAAAGTAGCAAACATTGTTTGGAGAATGGTCAGTCCCAGGACTTCTGAGCTATTATGTCTATTGTTGCTCCCAATAGTGTGTTTGTCCCTGGTGCAATCATGCACCAGGAGCATAACCTGGAGCTTATCCCTTCTGCCTAATAGAAGACGTCTCTGGCAACCCAAGTCCAAATACACTCTTCTCCTGTTGCATTAAAATCTCAAAAAAAACAAACCAAAAACAAACAAAAAACCTAACCAAAGAACACTTTGTATTTTGTCCCATTCTTATTACTGGATGAGTTCTTATATAGCATCCGCATACACACCTCTGAGGATATCAGGGACATCAAAAGATATGTCAAAATACCATTCTTTCAGTTTATCTTCCCCTTTCTTCTCCAGTTGAAGCCTTTATAATCCATTAATTAGCTTCCCCACTTTACAGTTCCTGATGTCTTTCTTTTTGTTGCTCACCCAGTCATGTATCATCATCACCTTGATTCTGATCAACTCTTAAATTGACTTTTTTTTTTTTTTTTTCCCTCTGTGAAACTGATCTCTGCTGTATTAGAGCTTCAAAAGTGTCTGACCTTTCAGTTACCTTCTTCTTGGAAGCAGAAATAATCCTTGATCCTTCATATGGTGGATATGGTTAACCTTTGGCACGTGTTTTGTTCTTCCCTTGGTGGCAGTTTGTAGCAAGCCCTAACTGCTAAATGGGTTTGGGGAGCTTTTTAACATGATGGGCTACATATAGTCCTCTTAAAATAGCTTCTTGATAGACTTCACCCTGAAGAGAATTGCAGGAAAGCTGTCACTTAGAGATGGCCCACATTGCTATAACCATCAGTAGAGTCACAGCAATGAAACATTCTTCCATGAAGTTTCTGCTGTAGGGCATCAACACCAGGGGTTTAGGATAATGATGTGCAAGATAAACTTAAAGCTAGATGCAGATATTTTAATTGAGTTTCTACATTTGAAATATTGGGCATAGTCAAATTATTTTGGACCAAACATTTCTTCAGAGGGCAGTCAATACCTTTGCATTCATGTTCCAAGTGTTTTAACAAGGCTACAGTTTAAAGGGGAATGATATTTTCCAAACCTTTGCTTCTTTCTTTTTCATGCCTAGTTTCATTTCTCCTTCAAAATCCTCTGACACTGCAGCGGCACAGGGTGCGTGTTCCACTCCCAGCACGCCTGGCAGACTATCTTCTCTTAAGAGCAGCAGCGACAAACCGCTCCAGGCGACTCGGAGAGCGGGATTCTCTCCACGCTGACTCCCCATCACCCCCGGGCTGGCTCCTGGCCCCTGCCAGCGGCTGGGGCGCGGGGCACTGCGGTTTCCGTGAGGGGCTGTTCCGCCTGGCCCCTCTGTGGGCGGCTTCTCTGCCCGATGGGGCCGGGGGGGCCCTGCCCGGAGTTCGCCCCCGCCGGGACGCGCTGGGCGATGGCTCCGCTCGGTCACGGCACCCGCGTGATAACCGGGGGTTATTTATTGAGCTGCCCCGTTGGAGGCGGCCCCAGGCTCCCCCGGCTCGGGTGGCCCGTCCCGCCGCCCCGGCCCCTCGTCC